CCCTTCCCTTCCCTTCCCTTCCCTTCCCTTCCCTTCCCTTCCCTTCCCTTCCCTTCCTTACTGATACCAAATTCAGCTGAGTCTTGCTGTTGGTTTCAGTGAAAGTGGCAGATAAAAACAGCCTAGCTCTCAACTTTCTTTTACAAACCTCCCAGTTAAGCATCAAGCCTTGTTATATAAAAATATGACACTATTCTGTGGCAGAACAGTGTTCCACTTGGCTCTGTGTCTGGCAGCAGCTTATGGCCTTGTCTAGGAAAGAACTCTTTTCTCCTGGGAAGAACAGGGGAAGCTTGTGAGCTTCTCTTCACCAAGATGCTCATGCACCTTCTGTGCTGAAGTGGCTTCCTGAACCCAAGGGGGAGCCTTTTGTTTAACAGCCCTTGAGGAATTTTCATCTATAACTTGTCAAACTAATTCTGTAACTCAGATCTTATCCAGCTTCTGTAAAGTCCTGTAGCAGTGAATTCCCCTGTTTGACCATGCTTGAGAAGAAGCCACCATCCTTTGGCTTGTTTTGAGCCTGTCCCCTGACAAATTCCACTGTTTTCTTGGAAAAGACCATGACGGTCACTCCTTAATCACCTTCCTATGACACTTCTGATTTTATAGATCTTTGTTATATTTTCTTGCCAACATCCTTTTAGAAAGAAGGACTCCAATCTATTTCTCAGAGCCAGTCTCAGTTGCTGATACATTTCCTGTTGTGGGGCCCTGGGCCTGCCAAGGCTGGTGGTCCTGGGTCCCTGCAGCAGGCAGCAGGATTCCTGTGCAAGGAGTGCCAGGTGTAATTTAGCACTAGGAGCATGAATTATGGTCCTGCCCTTTTCAGAAAGACTGTCAGCACAGCCCTGCTTGTCAGCTTAGTCCCCCACCTGATCATGAGCTTTCCTAGTGAATGAATTAAGACTTGGCGTATCATCGTTTAATACAGCCCCCATGCTAATGTCTTTTTGAAATGAAACTGAGAAAGCTGTTAACCTCAGTTAGCCAGTTGTCCTCACCATGACCTGGATAAATCATCCAAGCAGGAGCACTGAAGAACAGAGCTCTGGCTGTTTTGCAAAATGGAGTTGGAAGGGAAGGACTGTGCTTCCAGCTCATGCCATGAAGATTCCTCTGAGCCAGAGCTGTGCAGCCAAAGAACCAGTGTGTTCTTACACCAGAGACCCTGATGGGGCTCCAGGCTATGTGTTCACTGGTACACCCCCTCCCCTGGCAGCTGCTGAGGGGTCACAGTGTCACATCACAGGTGGGAAAAGGCAACATGTTGTATCTGGAGAAGAGGGGATGAATTCCCACAGGGACCCCAGGAACAGGTTCCTTCTGCTCCTGCCACCCGGCATGTTTCAACGTCCAGCTCTTCTTTGTGACCATGTCATTTTCCACATTCATTCCCTTCAGCTGCGGGCTGGATTCTCCTCAGGGATGTCTCCTTCACCACATTCTGAAGGCAGCTGGCCTTGAGCTGGGAAAAGAGATGAAGAGGACACTTTGGTGGCTGCTGCCAGGAGATATGGATCTACAGGAGCAGGGAATTTCTCTCCATTAGCTGTTTTGACATTGGAACCTGTTATCTTTATAAAGGCCTCATTACTTCATCTGCTTTCGCAGGGCATCTGCTCTCATAGCTACTGCTCTGTGTGGCAGGGAATTCTACTAGACAGGGTGATTTCTTTTGTGATTTCTCATCTGGCTACTTTACTGGGGTTTGGGGTTTTGGCTTTTACTTTTGTATGACTGAGGGAGATCACAACACCAGCTGTATGTAAGAAAGTCCAGGAAAGAGGAAAAAAACCCATCTGTTCTCCATGTCCATGAAGAACTACCGGGCAGAGCCTCCATCAGGAAACATTTGGGTTAGGTCCAGTTTTCTAAAGGGAAGGAGGACAGAGCAGGTGAGCAGACTGCCAGGGCCGAAGGATCCTGCATCACAGGAGAGCTTTAAGGACAGATATACAGATACACAGGGTACTTCTAGGTTCCCCTGTCTCACAACTGGAAGACAATCAGCCTCTTGATGTTCACATCAGCATTGCTCATTCCCTAAATCTATTCCTGCTCCCAATTTGTAATGCAGTTCTGCCTTTCCCAGAGCCCCACCACAGTCTGATTCAGTGTTCCCCTTTTTACTGCCAACCTGCCTGGTCCCAGGTTCCCTGGGAGGCTGTAACACATGCTGAAAGGAGCAAGCAGAGCCTGAAGGAGGTCACTGGGTGATGAAGGTTCCAATACCACCATCTGCATTACATGTGCTGCTGTGCTACAGGCTTTGGCCAGAGTCCCTCCCATGTTGGGGAACACATGAGTGGAGGATGAGGCAGAGATAGGAGTGTAGATATGCTATCAGAACTTTTGGATTCAATTTCCCTTCTCAGCAGAATAGCTGTGTGCAGTTTCTTACATGCGCTGCTCTGCAAATGAGCTGTGCAGGACATGGCTGCTGTCAGAGACTACCTGGAGATCATGATCCACCTGGAGCAGTCAGTTTGGCTCTGCAGGGCTGGCACAGGCAAGGACAGGGTCTGGCTGATGGACAGACCTCGCCTCAGCTCTCAGGGGCTGTAGGAGTCTGCTGCCCTTTACCTTGCTCCACTGTACGAGAACAGCCACGGAGTGTTCACAGAGGAGGGAATGGTCACAGGCATAATACCCTGTACCATGCACCATGTACTGTGTCCCATACACCAGGACTCAGAGCCGTTCACAGACACCCTGCAACATCAGCAGAGAGACAGGGACTGAAATACATGGCCAGGGCAGTCAGGGCAACTGTGAGCCAAGGTGAGCCATGCTATTTGTGTAGACACCAATGAGGAGCCCCACTGGGTACCTGTATCTGAGAGCCAGTTCTACAGCACAGTCATTAAAGAGAGAATAAAGAAAATAATAGAGCATTGATTAAAATGGTTGGCAAGGCTGATTTCTCTCCATGCAGCCTCTGACAGAGCAGACTTTGGGGCTGGGGAGGAATAGGCAGCCTCCAGGCTGTGAGGCTAATGCAGAGCCATGGCTGTTTGTATAACTGCAAAGCTTTTAAGAGAGACTTGGGAAAACTAGCTTGGATTCCAATGAATATTTACAATTACACTGCTCCAAAGCTGAATCCAATCACAGCACAGCAATGTGCAGGCTTCATGCATCAAAAGAAAATGAGAGGAAAACAGGAAAGATGGAGTTGCCTTTGGAGGGACTTACAAACACAGATCTCTCTGCTTCTGGCAGAACTAAAATGCTTTATTTCTGATAGGAGCAATTTATTCTTCAGGCATTTTGCTTGATATTAGAAAGTGCCTGGCTGGTTTTTGAAGTGAGTGTCTTCAATAGAAGATCTTTAATTCAAAATGAAAGCAAGAAATACAAAGTGTTGTGCTTTATAATTTTGATATTATGCTTACAAACTCCAGAAATAGGGGAGCGTTACCCAGCTGGAGCAGGGGTCCCTTCCACTTCCTTCCACTGTGTTTTTGATCACCATGTAGGCTGAGTATTTAAACCATGCTGCTAATATGGAATTTGGATGGTTACCATGCTGGCTGAGCATTCACTGCAGCTCAGTATTGGCCTTTTCTTTCTTGCAGTAGAAGGTATGCAAAAATAATGGTGATGGGGAATTACCTTGATAAAAAGATGGAGGATCTCTGACTGCTGAATCACTGGTGAGAGCAATGTGTCACAGAATAGGAAGTGTGTGACAAAGCAGAGACGCTGCCTGAAGTAACAACGAAACAGCACCACAGAGCTGACCTTTGTCAGCTGCTGCTCTGGTGCCCTGTCTGCATGTCCTATCCTGTCCACTCTGCCCATCCTGCCCACACAATCCATGCTGCCTGCAGCTCTAACCTACAGGACTGTAAATAGTCAGTGGCCTCAATGTGGTCCCACAGCACGAAACACTACTGCTCTTAATAAATTTGAAGTACTTAAGGTATAGCCTTGCATTCCATCATGCAGACATTCCTAAGCACCACAGCAGCACAACAGCAGGTGCTTCAAAAGAACCAGATTAGTATTTACACTAAAGAACATGCAATTTGTTAGCCACGATGCCTGCTTACAAGCACACGACCCGGGAAAGCCACCTCTGCAGTGCAAACCCTCTCCTTCCCCACAGCCCACCAGGCAGTGTGTCCCACCCTGGACAGAGAGCAGTGGGGGGCTGCTTCCAGCCTGCACTAATCCCTCCACATGGTTTGAAGATGATGCTATCTTCTGGTGCCTGCCACCTCGTGCGTGCACAGATCTCTGCTGCTGGATGGCAGTCCAAAAGGATGCTGGTGGGAAATTCCAGGACGCTGGTTTCTGATCTGAGTCAGTCACGCTGTTGGTGCAGAGACACACTCCATCACACGCAGGCATGGCACAGGGTGTTCGCTGCAGCTTGGCACAGGCTGGAGTCGATAGCCCTCAGCAGGAACTTGCAGTCAGTATTATACTGTCTAAGAGGCTTAAAATCAACTGTGAAGTTTCAGTATAGCTACAAAAAACCTGTTTTCTATTTCTCCACTCATAGCTTCTTCTAGGAGAAGACAGTGCAATTTGGTGATTCATTGCAGGAGTCTGGTTGGTGCATCCATGCTGGACTATAGAGGCCACAGATCCCACGGTGGTTCCAGGAACACTCTGCCAGCGTCAGCCACCTGCAGCTCATGGGCTCAGGAAGCAAAAATGGGGTCTTGCATTCCATCAATGTGAGTGGATATTTTTCTCCCATTAAAATGTTTCATTTATTTTTGAATGCATATGAGCTTTGGGGGTGTACCACACCCTGTGTGAAGCAGTCTGACACAGCACAAGATTCAAAAAAATATCTGGCTTTTGCTTTTTTGTTATTACCTGCAAATTTATGGGGTGCTGTCGGTTCTTACATTGAAGGGCTAATGAGAAATCATACTGCAGACAACCTCTATTTGTGAAACTTGATACTATAGTCTTCTTCAGTCTATTTTTTCTAGCCCAAAAAGACTATCCATTTTTAACTCACATGGAGAATACTCTGTATTTGATCATCCTTGTTGGTCTTCTCTGAAACACTTCCAAATCTTTTTCTTGAGGGAGGCAGACAGAGCTGCATATAGAAATCACAGGGCAGCTTTCACTATGAATCTGTTCATTGGCAGAACTATGATCTGCTCTCTATTATTTTCCTGATAATTGTTAACAGTCAGTTTGCCTTTTGGGCTGCTCCTGGGCACCAAACAAATGTTTCCACAGATCCATCTCTCCATCTTCATCTGATTTCATTCTAGCACAGCCCCAAGCCTAATTCCTGAGGAGGAACAGAGCTACAGCAGCTGGGACTGCAGTGAGATCTTGTGAGAAAGACGGTGCAAATGCCCCAGATCTTCAGCAAGATTAGGACCATCTGGCTGAGTCATACCTTGGAGACTGGGGACAGCTGCTAAACATCTGGAAAAAAGAAGACATTATATAAGGTCAGCAGACCTGGCCTCTTCCAGACACATTTACCCTCGGGTGTTTGCTCACCTGAGGGGCTCAGTAATGCTGTGGAATGCCAATGTAGCCAGATGAATCAGTGCTGGCTGAACTCCTATCCAAGAGCACAAATAGCATCATGTTCTTGTGATCCTCCTTTGCATTTCCTTCCTGCAGGTTCCCGGGGTTAGCAGGAAGGGATTGGGCTGCCTGACCTCCAGTACCCACGGTCATGAAAATTTCCCCTTACTCTGAAACCAGTAACTTCTCTGACTAAGATAGCTTCAGACAAGTGTTTGGCTGAACTTGAAGACATCAAGAGACAGACATCCTCCTCTGGCAGTCAGTCCCTTCACATCACTCCTACTGGTTTGGGTTTTTTTCTTCTCATGACTGCTATGTCAACAGAGCTAATGAAGCTTTCTATGCAGCAGCAATATGGTCTCAACTTTGTTTCTCTTGGGTTTTATCCTTTGTCATAGAATACTCCTTTCTTTTTGGCCAGAGACTTAAGGTGGAAAGGGAAGGGAAGGGAAGGGAAGGGAAGGGAAGGGAAGGGAAGGGAAG